GCCCGCGTAGGCTGCTCAACCTCGCCCTCTGGTCGCACGGCTCGACCGGCGCCGTGCCCGCCGGCACCTTCGTCGCGCTCCTCGCCATGTGGTTCTGCGTCTCGCTGCCGCTCGTCTTCGTCGGCGCCTTCCTCGGCTTCAAGCGGCCGCTGCCCGCCCCGCCGACGCGCACAAACGAGATCCCGCGGCAGATCCCTCCGCAGGGGTGGTTCTTGGGCCGCGCCGTCACGATGGCGGTTGGTGGCGTTCTGCCCTTTGGCGCCGCGGCTTGAGCGAGCTCATCGGCACCCCTGAGATCCGAGGCTCACAGCTCGGCGCGAGCTAGGCGCCGTCTTCATCGAGCTCTTCTTCATCATGACGTCAGTCTGGCTGCAGGCGAGATTGGGCCGAGATTGGCCGAGACTGTTGAGCCGAGACTGTTGAGCCCCACTGTCTCGCGCGCAGCGCTTCTACTACGTCTTTGGCTTCCTCGCCCTCGTCCTGCTGCTGCTCGTCATCACTTGCGCCGAGATTTCGATCGTGCTCTGCTACTTCCAGCTCTGTGCCGAGGACCACGCGTGGTGGTGGCGAGCCTTCCTCAACTCGGGTGCCGCTGGACTCTACCTGCTCGCCTACTCGGGCATCTACTATTGCACGCAGCTCGAGATCAGCGGCTTTGTGCCGCTTCTGCTCTACGTCGGCTACATGGCCCTCGCCTCTCTACTATTCTTCCTCATCACCGGGACCGTCGGCTTCCTGGCGTGCTGGTGGTTTGTCTGGACCATATTCGGCTCCGTCAAGGTGGACTGACCACAGTGACCATATGACAAGTAAGTGATCTTGCCACGGTTCGCGCGTGGGGTGTGGGTGTGGTAGGACGGGGTAAGTAAGGTAAGGTAAGGTAAACGTCTCCACACACACAAAGTGGTGGGGCAAGGGGGGGCGACCCTTGCATCTCCACGCCCGGACACGCACACGGGCAGCCAGGGCGCGGCAGGACGGGGCAACACATATTTTATTCGACTATCGGTGCGCATATTGCATATACCTTAACTGCATTTTTTGGTATACACATGAGATCATGAACAAAATACAAACAGTACTGTCGCGCTCCTACAGGGCGGCAAGTCCGAGTCGCCGCCCGCCGCCGCCGCGAGGCCGCGAGGCGCTCCGTCTGGCCTGCTTCGGCCGTTCGTCGAAGTGGCTCAGGGTGGTTGTG